ACTACTACTACTACTACTACTACTACTACTACTTCTTCTACGACTACTACTACTACTACTACTACTACTACTACTAGTACTTCTGCTGCTACTACTACTACTACTACTACCACTATACTACTACTACTACTACTACTACTACTACTACTACTACTACTACTACTACTACTACTACTACTACTACTACTACTACTACTACTACACTACTACTACTACTACTACTACTACTACTACTACTACTACTACTACTACTACTACTACTACTACTACCACTACTACTACTACTACTACTACTACTACTACTACTACTACTACTACTACTACTACTACTACTACTACCACTACTACTACTACTACTACTACTACTACTACTACTACTACTACTACTACTACTACTACTACTACTACTACTACTACTACTACTACTACTACTACTACTACTACTACTACTACTACTACTACTACTACTACTACTACTACTACTACTACTACTACTACTACTACTACTACTACTCCTGCTCCTACTCCTACTTATCCTTCTCCTCCTCCTCCTCTTCCTCTTCCTCTTCCTCCTCCTCCTCCTCCACCCTCCTCCCTCCCTCCCTCCCTGGCCACTCGCCGCACCCCTGGTCCCGCAGGACCTGGTCGCCGACGCGTGGGGCCGGCCCGAGGCGGCGGGGAGGGGCCCGCCTCGGGACGCCCGATGGATGCTCGGGCGACGGTCGGGGCACGGGTCCGCGAGGCTGCTGTCCAGAACGACAGCCTCGCGCTCCCCCCCCCCCCCACACTGCCTTTTCCTGCCCCTCCTGCCCCCGAAGGAGGACGTGAGTCGTTCTCCTCCCCCACTCGCGCCCCCACCCCCCCCCTCCCTGCCTCCTCCAGCCCCGCAGGCGGCCCAGCAAAGCTTTCGGTTCCTCTTCTCATACGCCCCCTCCCGTTGAGTGGGGGGGCGCGAGCGCGGCCCTCCTCACAAGCGAGGGGCTGGGCGCGCGCAGGATGGGTACCAGGGCCGTCCACTGACGCACGCCTGTTCCCGCCGAACCGCCCCCTGCCCCCTCGTTTCTAGTTTCTCGCTGCCCGCCGGCGCGCTCCCTGCCCCGCGCCTCGCAGCGCCGCCGCGCGCAAAAGGGAGGGGGTGGGCGCGCCCAGGAGGGCGCAAGCCAGGGCATTTCGCTGGCCAGCGTTTCCTCCCCCCTCCGAGCTGGAGGAGGAAGACACATCACGAGAGAAGGGAGGGGGGCAGAGAGGAGGGCGGGAGGGGCAGACGTGAGGAGGAGAAGGCAGGAGGGGGAGGAGGAGGAGGAGGAGGAGGAGGAGGAGGAGGAGGAGGAGGAGGAGGAGGAGGAGGAGGAGGAGGAGGAGGAGGAGAGGCAGACCGAGGAGCAGGAGCGAGGAGGAGCGAGGAATCTGCTCACGGGCGGCCGCGCGCGAGGAGACTGCTCATGGGGACGGGGACGTCACGTCGGCGCGCCAGGGGTCTGCAAAGAGGTTGCCCAGGCCTCCTGGCGTCGTGGAAGCTGTTTTACGATGAGGAAGTGATCTTTTGTGCAAGCGATACTGAGGGCCTACGCGTTGCATGCCGCACGCGACCGATGTGAGAGAACGCCAAGGGATAGGACATGTAGAGGACGAAGAGAAAGACGGAAGGACGACGATGGCCAAGAGAGGGAACGAGGTTGCGTGGTTGGCAGCAACCGGGGTGGGCACACTCCGCTGGCCGCACGGATGGCAGCACCCAGGGAGGGGAGTAAGAATGTGGATCTGGCTGAGACCGCTGTCCGCTGCACCCCCCGCAAGCTCGCGTAAATAATGGCACTTGGGCAATATGCGCGTCGCGGCCTCGTGCGCAGCGTCGAGGCGTAGAAGTCAGGAAGCGGGGCAAACGCGCGCGTGGCCTGCCCAGACAGAAGCCGGGGACAGGGATCCACCCGAAGGGATCAACCGTGCCATGCGCACAGCAGGGCGTGGGCTGCGGGGGGGGGAGGCGAAGGAACAGGAGGAGGCGGTGCCGGAAGGCCAGCATCGACAGTGCGAACAGGACAAGGCGAGGCGCGGTGGCTACGGCACAGGCACGACCGAAGGGGGCGAGTGGCAAGGCAGGGCCGGACAGGCGCAGAAGGCGCGACGGGGAGGAGATGGAGGACTACCGAAGAGGGCGAGCGGAAAGTGGGCGACCGCCAGACAAGGGGGGCGGCGGGGCGGACCCTGCCAGCTCAGGGGAGCCAGGTCGGGCGAGGCGGGAGCGGCCTCGCAGCAGCGCGAGCTGGCGCGGGAGCAGGGCACGGCTGGCCGCGCGGACGCGCGGGGCACACAGTGCAGTGAGACGGCGGAGGCGAGGGTGCCCTGGAGGGGGGAGCACCCAAGGAGGGAAGCCAGGTCCGCTCCGGCAGTCAGCCCCGGCATCAGCGCCCCGCCCCATGGAGGGGGTGCGGATGCAGCCGTGGGCCACACCCGAGGAGGGGTAGCGGAGGGGAGAAGGGAGCCCTCCGCGTCCCACCAGGTGGTTGAGAGCCTCCTCGGGTTTGGCCAGGGGTACGGCAGCTGCGATGCGGCAGGACACACGCACACACTTACGCATTTGTTTTTGTCTCACAGAGCGCGTTCCACTATTCGCAAAGGGCCTACTCGCAAACATCCGAACAAGAAGATGGATTCCTCTATGTTATGGGTCGTCAATCCCTCGCGGTGGATCCAGGCCGTTTGCGAGTAGATGCTCTTGCGAGTAGTGGAACGCGCTTGTCCACTGTCGGCACCCGTGTGCTCAGCACCACGGCGATCAAAGTAGGCGAAGGGTCCGACCTGGCCAAGCGAAATGGAGAGGCGGGTCAGGAGGGACGGCTGCGGGGGCGGCGGGAGCGGACGCTGGACCACACACACACACACACTCACAGGCTCACGAAAATGGCGGCAGCTTGCGCAGTTGGCAGTCCTCAGGGAGGGCGAGGTCTAAGATGGATCCCAGTAAGTCCGCCCCCCGCTGGACCTCCCGAAAAGCTCACTAAGGGAGAGGCAGTTGCGAAGTTGCCAGCCCCCAGGGAGGCGAGGTGGAATTTGGATGCCACTACAGGACCACACCCCGCTGGACCCCCACACGCTCAGGAAAGTGGCGACGGTTACGTAGTTGGCAGCCCCCTATACAGGCGATTTCTAGTTGGATCCTTTTAGCATTCGTACCCCGCTCGACCTCCCACGAGTTCATGAAAGTGGCGACGGTGGTGCATCCGTCAGCCCTCAGGGAGGCGAGATCTAGTTTGGATCCTCTGAGCACCGCACTCCGTTTGACCGTCCATAAGCTCACGAGATTGGCGAGAGATGCGCAGTTGGCAGCTGGCGAATACGTTGGATTCACCTAGGACGGCATTCCGCTGGACCTCCCAGGAGTTAACGAAAGTGGCGACAGTTATTCAGTTGGCAGCCACCACGGAGGCGAGGTCTAGCTCGGATCACTCGGATCGCACCATGCTTGATCTCCCATACATTCAGGAAAGGGGCGACGGTTGCGCAGTTGGCAGCCCACCAGGGAGGCGAGGTCTAGCCTGGAACCCCTCAGGACCGCACTTTGCTGGACCTCCCAATTGCTAAAACAAGTTGTGACGGTTGCGAAGTTGGCATCCCCCAGGGAGGCGAGTTATGGTTTGAGTCCCAAGTGGCAGCACTTGTTCAGACAGCATCCCCCGTGGAGGCGAGGTCTGTCTGAATCCCCTGGGCACCGCACTCCATTGGACCCAGGAGCAGTTGTCACCGCTCGCGACGCGTGCGCCAGAGCGTGGCACGGGACACGGCGCGGCCAATGCGAGATCGAGGAGGGGGGGAGTATTCCGAGAAGGAGGCGGAGGAGGAAGAGGAGGAGGCGGAGGAGGAGGAGGAGGAGGAGGAGGAGCGAGAAGGAGGAGGAGGAGCACTTCGAAACCACGCGGGAGGAAGACGAGGAGCACAAGGAGGAGCACGATGAACACGAGGAGGAGCACATGGAAAAAGCGTATAGGTGCAGTTCGGTCGCCCGCGGAATGCGTTGAGTTCCAGCCTGGCAGCTGGCAGGGGGGGGGTCTTGCAAGGACCCCCAGGGAGGCGTGCGCCTGCGGCCGAGGGCACAGAAGGCTCGGGCCCAGGCCGGATAGAAAAAGGGAGAGAGAGAGAGAGGGAGACAGACAGGCAGACAGACAGACAGGCAGACAGACAGGCAGGCAGGCAGGCAGACAGGCAGGCAGGCAGGCAGGCAGGCAGACAGACAGACAGACCGACAGAGACAGACAGACAGACAGAGACAGACAGAGACAGACAGACAGACAGACAGACCGACAGACAGACAAACAGACGCACAAACACACAGACAGACGCACCGAGACAGACAGACAGAGGCAGACAGACAGACGGAGGGAAAGAGACAGAGAGAGAGAGAGAGAGAACGCGAGGGGAGGAGAACGAGAGGAAGAAAGGGAGAGAGAGAGAGAGAGAGAGAGCGATTTGTTTCTCGATGGAGCTTCTTGATGAGGGGCCCACGGCCCATGCGAAAGGGTGCTTCGTATCGTACGCATCACATGTTGTCGACTATTGCCAACTTGTCGCCAGTATACCACCGTCGCCACACACGCACTTGCCTTACATGCCCATGCCGCATTCCAGCGTTGCCGATAGTTACGCCGCAGGGCTTAACTCACATTGCGATATACATCTTCATGTGTTGCACCATTGCCTAATAATGCCCCTCTTGATGTGTGTTATGCCGTGGCTTGTTGGCATCTCTCTGACCTGGCGCGCTCGTTTTCGATATGTTTTCCTATCATTGTAGTATGCCTGACAATAAGCGCTAGTCGGCGACGATCGAGGGGGGGAAGTGTGAAAGAGAAGGCATTCTCAGAAGGCGGCGGGACTCCTCAGAAGCCCCCGCGCCCCCTGAGAAGTTTGTCTTGGTCTTCGGGGAAGGCATAAAACATCTTATCAGAAGGTCGGGGGACTTTCGAAACACTTCTGAGAAGGCCTTCTCCTTCTCGCTTCCCCCCTCGCTCTCCACCGAGTCTGGATGCTGGACACCTTCGCAAGGCAATTCCTCTGGACAGGCTTGGCCCGAGCCCGCACTCCTCTCAGAAGATCAGTGTTCCGCAGGTTTGCCTATCGCTGACTCTCACCCCATGAGCAGGCGAAGGACGGACCAGGGCTGGACCCGGACGCTGCTTCGCTGGCTTTCGGCCGCGTCCTGTTTTTTGGCTCCGCCTGGGCGGGGAGGCACAGGAGCACGCGTGGAGAGCAGAACGACAGGCAGCACGACCACAGATGCGGAACACGGCGTCCGGGCCAAGGGCCCCGTGAGAGGCGCCGGCCGCGAGGCGCGGCCTCGCGGCTCCTCCGCTTGTTGGCCCGAGAACGAGCGGAGTGCGGAGAGCCGATCGGGGCCGTCGCCCACCCCGTTCGCCCTCCTCCTCCTCCTGGTCCTCCTCCTGATCCTCCTCCTCCTCCCTCTCCTCCTCCTCCTCCTCCTGGTCCTCCTCCTCCTCCTCCTCCTCCTCCTCCTCCTCTCCTCCTCCTCCTCCTCCTCTCCTCCCTCCTCCCTCCTGGTCCTCCTCCTCCTCCTCCTCCTCCTCCTCCTCCTCCTGGTCCTCCTCCTCCCTCCTCCTCCTCCTCCTCGTTCTAGCTGGCGTAGCAGGCTTAAGGCTTGATTGTCAGCTGGCGGGAG